TGGCTTCTCTTAGGACTGGCTGAAGAAAGAGGATGTTTAGTGGGACTGGATTGGAACTGAAATGAGGTTTTAGCGCTTTGGTTGCCCTGGGGTGAGATGGTTTACCCTAAGCTGGTATACTGGCTTTTGCCGGATCGCATTAGGTCCAATATAAGGCCCAAATTTCATAGCACATAAATAATTGGTATGTATCTGGCACCAATGCACAATTAAAGTACAAATTATATCCGACATTAACATTAATTATTAGGAGACTTCAGATTAGGACATTCTAAGGTGACATTCTTCTTAGGCAGATAGTATGTGGGTAATAATCATATGACTAGTTTTCTTCACACAATAAATGCATGTCACGTACTTGTGTTGTTTAATAGTGTCACACTTTGATGTCTACCAAATTCCAATTCTTTCATTTTAACACATGTCTATGTGAAAAACCAGAGGGAACAAGCTATAAAAAGTCAAGCGTGTGACAAATCTACCAACTGAACTCTTATAAATGTTCGTCACTGGAGAGGTTAGGTTTTGAGGATCCTCAATGCCTTTTGAGTGTTTGTCCATCGAAAAATGACATAGAAAATGAATGCTTTTAGGTTATAAATATGGATTAATTATTAAGCAACAACATACTTACAAGATGATGTTAAGAAAAAAGACCTTCTTTAAGGATCAGAATGAGAATTTGACGATTGAGAAGCATCAGAAAATACTGATCACATTTAGTAAACTTAAGGATGAAGATTGAAGATTATGACCTTGAATTCTGATTAATAAAGAACAGGTCAAGATTACTTTTGAACTGTTGGATCATGACAACCTAAAAAGTTGTGCATTGAAACTAATATTGATTAATATATGTGATCAGTCCCAAGGAAAGCATATGTTTTCTCTTTGGACTGGCTGAGACACTGAAATGAGGTTTTAGCGATTCGGTTCCCTGGGGCGGGACGGTTCACCCTAAACTGGTATGGCAGATTGTGCCGAATTTTACATAGGCGTGCTATAAATAGGGCACACAGAATTGTATCTGGCACCAATCAAAATCGGAGGACAAATTGTATCTCATGTTGACAACAATAATCAATTTAATACTATCTCCGTCCCATAAAACTTGACCAACTTTCCTTTTTTGGACGTCCCAAAAAACTTTGCCATTTTCATTTTAAGTAACAAATATGTGGCTAAAGTTATTTCTCTCTCCTCTGCACAAATATCAACCACACAGTTTTTACTTTATTAATTTACGTGCAAGCCAACATTGGCCAAGTTTTATGGGACGGAGGGAGTAATAGTTAAAAGTAAGACATTATTGGGAGACATTCTTCCATGGAAAATATTCACTGGCTGATTATCATAAGACTATTTTCATCACGCAATAAATGTATGTCAAGTAAGAATGTTATTTAATAATGTCAATTTGCATGTCCCCAAGTTTATAATGTTTTCATTCTATAGCATATATATGCTGTAAAACTAGAAAGAACATATTAATTAATAATCTAAGACTAATGATATAATTCAACTGTCGTCTCCGGAGTCTATTTCTTACACCATTAGAAAAAAAATGTTGCATCAAAGTGAAAACTACACACATAGGTGCACATATCAAAATTGAGATAATAGAAAAACAAATTCAGTCATTAAGGTCCCAAGAGGCCAAGACATGTGACAAACCACACCAACCTGAACTCTTATAATTGTTTGTGACAAGGGAGGTTAGGTTTTGAGGACTCCCAATGCTTTTTGTGCATTTTTCCATCGAAAAATCGAATCTTGATTTCTGATCTGTCTCTTCAACAAAAGATGGTCCTAAATCATGAACATGGAAGATGATTCTTTTAGGTTATCAATCAATATTATCAATACAGATTACTTATTAACCAACAACATACTGCCAACATGTTAAGAAAAAGGATCCTTTTAAGGATCAAAATGAAATTAGCTATGCAGAAGTATTAGAAGATACTGATCAGATTTGGTATGCTTGTAGTGGAAGTGTTTGATCTTGAGTTCTGACTAATAAAGAACACATCTACATTACTTTTGGACTGTTGGATCATGATAAGCTAAAAATTTGTACATTGTCAGTAATATAGATTAGTACATGTGATCATTTCTGAGGAAAATATATATTCTCTCAGGCTGGCTGAACAGAGAGGATGTCTGCTGGGAATGCCTGAGGCACTGAAATGAGGTTTTAGCTCATTGTCATTGGTTACCCTGGCTCCTAGAGCAGGATGGTTGACTCTGAACTTATACGGCAACTTGTGCCGAATTGCATGAAGGCCTCTTATAAGGCCCAATTTTCATAGCACATGCAGAGTTTGTTTGTATCTGGCATTAATGTGCACGTAAAGTACATTTTGTATCCAATATTAACATCAATTGTAGTGACATTTAAAAATAAGGCATTATTAGGTGACATTATTCGATGACATATATTCAGTGGGTGATTATCATATGCTGTTTTATGACTGTTATCTACTCGCCGAGTACTAACAGCTGGGGGGTAGCCATTCCAGTTAGCACTCTGACTCGACCCGTTCTGTTTTTCCCAGTTACTCGCCGAGTACTCCGCAAGTTTCTTAACTCAGTGACAATTTTGACTCGGCCAGTTACACGGCAACCACTAAATGTTTTTTTAGTTAAATCAAAAAAAAATTAAACTAAAGTGGATACTATCATACTGTGGAATTTATATATAACGAGTGGGTATTTTGAAAATTGAAAAATAACATCACAGGGTCAGTCTAGGTTTAAAAGCATTTCACAGATCAGCTCATACAACTATACAAGTTAGATGACTGATTTTCTTGAAAACTTAGAATAATTATGACTTTTGCTATCTTATTCATATCAAAGAATTATAAGACAAATTTATTACTAGAATTTTGAGTATTTCATTTTTGAATTTAAATAATAGAGGGCAGAGAAGTCCTGAGTTGTCGGTCCTACTAGCTACTCGGCCCTTGTCCGAGTTGCTACCGAGTAACGATTTAACTACTTAGATTATATGACTATTTTTATCATAGCATAAATGCATGTCCCAAAAAAAAATGGTCCTTAATAATGTCACATTTTTCAAGTCTCTGGAATTAGATTTCTTTCACTCAATTACATACCTTTACTAAAAAAACAGATGGTAATATTAATTAATAGCCTAGTACTTTTGGTGCCATATTTCAACTGAGATAACTTCTGTATAATATTATTGAAAACGGCTAAACAGAATGGCGCATAAAAGTGTAAACCAAATAAATAGATGCATATATCAAAATACTAAATTGATGGAAGCAACTAATTGTCTAGTTCAATAGTTAAGTTCCACAAGTGTGTGACAAACAACATCAACCTGAATTCTTGTAATTGTTCGTGACAGGAGAGGCAATGCTCTTAGGGCCCTCAATGCCCTTTGTGCATTCGTCCATCGAGAAGTCAAGTCTTGATTTCTCAGATATCAGTGTCTCTTCAACAAAAGATAGTCCTAAACCATAACCTTAGCAAGTGAATACTGAGTACTTTAAGTTATCAATATTTCATAACCGATAACAAACTTGCAAGATGGTGAAAACGAAAAGGGTCTTTTGTGGGATCGGAATAAGATTGTACCATTGAAAAACATTGAAAATTACTGAACATATTTATATTTAGTAAACAGAAACTTGCTTATGGATTAATACTGGAGCTTTGATTAATAAAGGTGGAAATAAGCTTTGGCGTGTTGGATGATAACACGCTAAACATTTGTGAGGTTTCAACAGTGTAGATAGATTCATAGAAGTGATCATTTCCACGAAAAACTCAAACATAAAACAGTGCGATATCAAGCTTGGCTTCTTAAAATGGTATCTTAGTCATAATTACAGGCGGCATTACTTTAAATGATGTACATAAAACACATAACATTGAGCACGACTTTTTGAGCAACGGAGAATAACCATATGAAAATGACCTGGGGAGGTGGGGTTTGAAATTGAAGATGAGAAATTAGAGAATTTCACAGTGGCGAAATCGGGTTTCGAGAAGTCGGAGAACGGGGTCTCGGGCACAATGGAAAGAATGGAGGCGGATGAGGTGAGACCCAAAGCATGCTTCTCCGGGGTCTGGTCATCATCGATGACGAAAACAGTGGGGCTCGAATCGACCCTTTGCTTTTTGCGGGTGACTGCCAGGGGGGTCGAGAGGTCGATGGTGTCGTGCCGACGGCGGACGTCGCCTGAGCTGCGGCGATCATCGTCGGAGTCGGAGAGGATGTCTACTGGGACTGGTAGCGACATTGAAATAGTCCCCTGGGCGGTTTTGAAGAAAGTTATTGGTCGACTCGGTCACCAAATCATAATTACAAAAATGTGGTGCTTTAGAGGTAGTCCGGTAGCATTAAAATCGGCTGACTTGTCTGATCCTGTTGAAATTTATGAAGTTTTGGCTGAAGTGGCTGTATTTGCTTGATTCTGCTGATTAAAAAAAAATATTTTCAAAATATATTTTATTAATAAAATAAAAGAAAAATTATATGTAAAAATAGCTAAAATGATCGTATACAGTAACTTCAGCCAATACATCCAGAAAAGTAACCTCAACCTTACTTTTTATGCTTATTACACAATTCAGTGCGCAAAAGTAAAAGTTACGTTTTTGGTGAAAAAGTTGGCTGATAAGCCGAAAACAGTGATGAAAACGGCCTCTTAATTTAGCTCATTAGCCCCTATTAATTTGAAAAATGCGTCAAACTCCATTGTGTTTTAATTTATCATGCACAAAACCCCTTTTATTATTAATTTTAATGATTTTGAAATCACTTTTCCTAATATTCTGATTTAATATGAAAGTAAATATGTCAAAATCTCTAAATCATACAAAAATGTTAATCATTTTTCTTTTATTTGACAATTGAATTTGTTCACAGAAGAGGTTTTGTGCATAATTAATTAAAACATAAAGAGGTTTGATGCATTTTTTAAATCACAGGGGACTAATGCCCCGAATTTACATATCATGGGGGTCAGTGCAATAAACCCCAAAGAAAACTCTCAAAGTTAACATATAAAGTAGGATGAGAGTTTAGAATTGTTTCTCTCAGTAGAATTTTCTAGTTGCTCTACTACACTTTCGGCACCACCACTTGCGGTGGAGGCCGGCGCCGGAGCCCTCCTGACTCCGGTGGGCTCGGGGGTGGTCAGATATGAATTTTGGAACAAACTTCCCACTTTGGTGGGTGGTTATGGGTTGACTGTTTGAAGTTTTCATGGTGACTTTTGGAAATGTTTTTCTTCTTTACCGATGTGCCTTCTGGTTTGGAACTGGAAATGATGCTTGAACTTGCTGGATTCATTGCCAACGTTGAGTGATGGCCGTGGGGGACTAATTTGGTGACGAAATGGTGAAGGCGATTGGTCTGGTGTGCAATGGTATCTTAGAAGGTTTTGTACTGGGTCATGGTGATTGGCTGGAGGAGTTAAATGTTTCGTCCAGGGATGGGGTTTTTTGGGTTATTGTGAGAAGGTTGGAGCTTGTACTGGTTTCTTCCATGATATGATGGAGCTACTGCTGGAGGTTGATGGGGGCACTGATAGTGCTCAAACAGCTCGAACCTTGTGGTTGATGTCCTGGATGTACCGACCATCACTGATGACCTGGCTGACCGGGGTCGTTGCGTGTGGGGGTGGCATGTACAGTGATGAGACTGGGGAAGATGAAGGTCTGGTGACGTTCAAGGGATTTCTGACCGGAGGTAAGGACATGGATGGGTCGTCGGAGGCAGCTCTGGTGATGGAAGGTGGAGGCTATGTCGGGCATGAATTTCTGGTGGGGTTGTGCTGTTGGAGAAGACGTCCGGAGTTCGTGGGGGGTTGGATGTGTTGGTCGGTGAGGACGAATAGAGGGTGAGGTGCGCTTTCTTTGCCACCTAGTTTGGGTTCTGCCGGTTCGGATTTTTGGTTTTGAGAAAAGTTCATTTGAAAGCGGTCATATTTTCGCCGGAGAAGATCACCGGCGTGTCGGGAAACGCATCTGCTTGTCGCTACTATGTTTTTCCGGCTACTGTTGATGCGCCACTGTGCCGTCATTCATCTTTCCCGTCAAGCATCGCCGGAGCTCAACGGGGGTGGGTGGTGGTAGGTGGACATTCAGGTCAGCAGGGGTTACCTTCGGTTTGGTTTTGTGCTCTGTTTCTCCGACCGCCAGACTATCCGGTGGTACCGGTGCCGGGTGGGGTGGATGGGGGTGGAGCTGGTGTGGGTTGGACTGATAGCTGACCGTTCATTGGCCAGTCTGCCGTTTGACCCGAAGTTGTACGGTCATTTTGAAATTGCGATAAATGGCTTAGGGTTGCTGTTGTTCGCTTAGGCTGCTGGGCTGGATTGGTGCAAGGTTTGGGCCCGTTGCTGCCTACAGGCCGGCTGATACTCAACTTGCTCATGCGAAGTGCGGGTAAAGGTGGGCTTGCTGGGCTATGCAATGGATCTTGGACTGGATGGGCATGAAGCTGGGCTTTGCTGCTGTTTTCTTGGACTAATTTCCTTTGGTGGCTTTGTTGGCCCATGAGCCTTTACTGGTTCGGTGGTCAGCGCCCTACGAAAGGCTTTTGACTCATTAATGGGTTGGTTCTTCATGGACTAGTCTATCTTGGTTAATTGATTTTTGTGATACGAGCCGGGGTCTGTCTCGTGCCGTTTTGGATTATACCATAAAATTCTCTCTCGCCTCCCCCCTCGGGGGGTAGGGGGTTTGAATGGTTAGTTACTATTTTAGTTAGTATAACTATCTAAGTAGTTTTGATACATTTGGTGCATTGTACTATGCAATTTTCTGGATATATATATATATATATATATATATATATATATATATATATATATATATATATATATATATATATTACATTTTATCTAAAAAAAGAAAACTCTCAAATAGGCCCTTGTAATTTGGCCAATTCCTCAATTAAGCCCCTATACTTCCGAACCACCCAATCAAGTCTGCATACTCACCAAAACACCCAATAGGATTATTAGTCGGTTTACCATTATAAGCTGACCTGGACTCCGACGTGGTCTTTCCTTACTTAGCAACTTAAGCTGGTGTGGTTATCTCCCTTTTAAAGCCTAACCTTCTCCTGATCATCTAACACAAATCCGCTGCTCCCTCAGACCTAGTTATTCACCCTCCCTTCCCTGCGACTGTGTGCTTCTCCTTTGCAAGTATGACGTCTTCATCATCATCAACGCTTGTAAAAAATGAAGCCGTACTATGGACTGCGAGCCTGCTGTTTATTATTGGTGTGGATTGAAAGATCTTCTATGCGTTGGACGAGAGAGGGAGAACTTTTTATGGTTGTAAAAAATGGAAGGTAAGTCTATGATTTGGGTGTGTGGTTTTGAATTACAATGTGTTGCCTTGTTCATGATTTGGAATAATTCCGGTAAGATTTTAATGTGTACAAGTTGGGAATTCTGGTTTTTTCTTATGGAAGGAAGACGTAGGAATAAAAGAAATCGTTAGGGTTGAAGAGAAGAAAGAACTTGTGAGGGATGAAGAGAAGAGTGAAAGCGTAGATGAATTGATAAAATTGGTTGAAGGACTTGTCCAACAGATTTCACATATATAGACACATATTGCTTGTGTCATAACTGTGGTTGGGACAATGAGGCGAAGGTGAACAAAAAGAGTAGGAGGTTGTATGGGTTAGCTATGATTGTACTTCTTGCTTTAGCAGGGAGTATGTATTTGAGGATGTAAGCTTGGTTTGCAATGTCAGAAAGGATTATGTGTTGGTCATGTGTACTGTTTTTCAATTTGTTAGTCATGTAATGACTTTGTAATGGCACAATATTGCTTGAATCATTCATTAAGAACTTGGTTCTTATGGATTTGTAATGGCACAATGTAATGTGTTTGTAATGGCACAATGTTGGCCAATGAAACAGGTTTTTGTATATTATAGCCAATGTGTAATTGTTGACACATAGCTCGGATTCTTACTAACCGTGTATTAGCTTTGTAATGGCACAATGTTGCTCAATGTAATGGTTGTTATGATTTTTGTAAACTGAAATGTAAAAAGCTGGAATTGGGGCTAAATCTGTTGACATACAAAGCCCTTTCTACACTGCCCCCTGACTTTTCTCCATTTACACACAGACCTCAGCATATGGAATACCGTACAGAGAGTACATGAACCACACTAAACATAGATAATAGAGATAGGTAATATGATCAACAAAAGTCACTCCTTTACTTCCAATCTAATACAGAAGACCTATTTGACACTCATTCATATTACATGTCATAAAAAGGCTACTCATTCATAACACCAGCATTGATTCACAAAATTCATTACACATTAAGCAAATTAAACACCATTACTGAGTTCTTCTTACACAAAAACCCCATTTAGTACACCATACATATTGTTTTTCCAGAATACACATTAAGCAAAATGAAGACCATAACTAAAATCTTCCTACACCTTTATGATCACCATTACATCATAGGAATTGTTTTTCCAAAATACACAATCAACAAAATAAACATCCAACAACCTATTGCAATCCATTGACCTTCCTCTCCTCCACATCCAGTGTAGCCTTTTGTTAGCATTGTTTCTCCTCTTTGTCCATGCTGCAATAAGGCATCTAACAAAAAAAACTTGTTCATTATACATTACACTAAACACACAGAAGTGAGTAATAACATTACACTACACATAAACTTACTTCCAAAATGGTCATCCCTGTATGTTCATTAAAATATACCCAAATCTCCTTTCTCCTCTTCCCCTCCCCCTTTCACCTCCCCCCTCTTACCTCTCACACTATGACCTCCCACCGACCTCTTCCCCTTTCTAGACTCCCTCCTGATATGTCCTAGTTTCAACATTCCCCATCTCACCTCTGCCCCATTCAACAGTCCCTATTCCACCCCTCTTAGGTTTACCCCTTTGACCTCTTCCCCTTTCATCAGATAGTGTATGGCCATAATTTTCTTCTCTTCCCTTTTCATCACCTCTTCTATGTCCTTGACCTTCTCTTCCAGTAAGTTCTGTGATGGGTATATTGGTTTGTGCACAAGATTTCCTATTGTGACCTTCCCCTTAACAGATAGAGCATTTCATGATTTGTCTTTTTCTTAGCAGTTGAGACCTTGATGGTGCATGGGGTTCAGTTTCTTCTCTCACTCTTTTTCTTAGGTTGGCCACTCATTTTCTTTGGTATGGGATGAAGAATTTCTTCATGTTGGGTTCTTGGCCAGAGTAACTCACCATTAATTGGATGCAGAGTGTAGGAATATGTTTTTTCATACAGTTCCTTAGAGTGCCAAGAGTCAACATAGCTTTCTGGCTCATCCCCTTTATCAAGAATTGCACAAATGGCATGTGCACAGGGAATTCCACAAAGATCCCATCTTCTGCAGGCATAAGATCTTGTGTTGAGGCTCACCTTGAATTGGAATATTCCATTTTTACTCTCATAGCCATCATCCCCATTAAAATCAACATGCCAGCCTTGACTTGCTTGGATATTTTTGTTCAATTTCTTCATGATCACTAGACCGAATGCACAAGACAACAAACAACAGCATGTACAAACTGCCTTTGAAGATGTTACTCTTGTACTCATAAGGGTAAGTTCAAACTTGCTTCACACATTTTAACAAAGTTTCGATAAAGTGAAGTTCACAATATTCTTCTAAATGTTAAGCATGTATTCATAAAGACTGTTGTTCATCCTTACCTTGCCACTTCCTCACATACTTCCTTTTCTTAGCTATTCTTTTCATCATATCCACTCTCATTCCCTCTAGCATTGGGATAAGTGGCTTATCTCTAATCTGAACAAGAGTGTTGTTAAAAGCCTCAGATAAATTGTTATCCACTGTGTCACACTTCACCTCAGTCCTAAAATAAGCCTTGCACCATAGCTTCAGTGGATACTTGCGCAAGTCTCTACCTGCTTCAGGGTCAAGCTTATCTAACTTGTTTAAAGATGACTCCAATTGCCCTTCAGAAGTGGACTTGGTACATTGCCACAACAATTTCTTTAACACCATTCCTCTGTGATTTTTGGCCGAGTTGGCAGTATATGCCTAGCACAATTCATGTGCTCAACTTGAGGGAGAACATTGGCAATCACATTTGACAGTCCTTATGAATCAAATAATTCAAAATCAGTAGTAATGGAATAAAAGTTAAGCAACCATTGAAAAATATCAAGGACAACACAAATTACTTTCTGGTTGGTCATTTATAATGGTCCATTCTATCTCTACTACTGCCCAAGCAATTGTGTACATCTGATTATTCGCATATCTTCCCACAACACTTAAAATCTCTCCCTTCAACTGCCTTTTTAGGAAACAACCATCCAAACCTATCACCTTTCTACACCTTTCCAAAAATCCCCTCTTAACTGGTCCAAAACACATATAGATGCGTTGGAAAACCATTGGAGCTTCAGGGACTACTCCGTTAGTTTAAATCACCAGTGTACTACCTAGAATTGACCTCAAAATTTCCTATCCATAGTTTCTAATTTTCTTGAGCTGGGTTTTCTCTTGCATAATTTTCAATGCTCTTGTAGCCATACTAATGGAGACATTCAGCTTATTTTCAGCTTTAAACAACTTTTTTAGGTCTACAACACCCATGGAGGGATTCTCAATCAACTTATCCTCATAGGTTTCAGCTATCCATTTCTGACTTACTATTCCAAGCTTGAACTTTAAGTTATATTGATGGTCTGGGCTCCAAACTTTTAGTTGAAAGCATTTCAACCTTTCTTCCCAACTAGCAGTAGAAGAAAAAAGGCAATTAATGTCACATTTAAGTGTGACTCTCTTAGGCTCATTCTTAACAAAGATTATATCTCTTTTATGATACACAACATATCTAATCATAGCACTTTTAAATTGATTATCGTCCTCAAACAACATCCCCACCTTAAAATGGGGATGATTAGATTCTTGGTTATATGAACCATTCCCATTAGGTGGCCTTTTGGATGTAGTTTCATCTTCTTCCTCTAAATGACATCTATGTGGGTTAGATGAGTCATATTTTGTACTATTTTCCTCTATATCAGTCTCATGCCCATGCTGAGGACTTTGTATGTCTTCCATTCCTGAAACACTTTCTGTCATGTTTGTGGAAATATGGATTGAACCCACTGACACATCAAGTAACACCTCTTCTTCATCCCCACTGTCATTTGTTGTCCCAAAATGGACTCCTTCCTTATCACCAGTTGCAGTTTGAACTTGTTCCTCAACATCACTTTCACCACTTGGGCCAACACTGTCAACATCTGTATCATCATTGCCTTCATCCTTATCACCACTTCCTTTATTATCATCATATTGGGGCTCTTCTTGATATGTGTGTAGAATTTGGATCATGATCATCACCTAGAGGCTGTGCATTATCCTCTGCATGATCTACATATATCTCACACTTCCCATAACTTCTAGCCAATTGAATTGTATGTGTGCAGTCTGATTATCAAACAACTCATGTAAGGAGTCAATATGGGCACTTGGTTGTTTGAAATACAGACCTCAAATGGGGATAGCTTATTACATCAGGATCTGCAAGTACACACACTACCCCTCCATCTTCTCTAGACCAAAGCTAAAATCCCTGTATGGTGTATTATTAGTTTGACTGTCTCAAACATTCTACAATCATAACAACCAACATCGTCATTTCAGTTCAAAGATTTCTCATTTAGGTGAAACACGGTAGTCAGTAAACACACACAATCTTCACATAAATTCCAAGCGCATAAAGGACTAAACCATCACGAACGACGTCTTAATGGAAAGAGCATATGAAATAATAAATAACATG